GTCCAAACGCTGTGCCCATGGGGAGGCACCTTTTCCGTTTCTCGATTCGTAGACCTTGTGGAGCTGAGGCACATTTCTTCCTACCAACAGCAAAATGTCAGCTTCAGGATCAATTTCTGGAATCTTGTCAGCAATTTCTCTGAGATGAGGGTGTGCCCTGCCAACAGCAGGCGTAGGAATCTCTTCTGTACTATCTGGAATGGCGTCACACTCTATTACTGGTGGAAGCTTGTGGGTTTTTCGCCCATCCAACGATTCGATCACTAGGTTCTTGGCGCACCGTCCTTCTAGTTTGGATTTACCCGAGCATGTTTTTAGAGTGTACGAAGTGGCTTCGCCATCTATGCTTAACAAGTCAAATAGTTTTGGTTTGGCAAGGGTACAATTACTTTGATCGTCGATAACGACGTAAGCTTTGATCTTTTTCTCTGGATGAGTCTTGGAATAAATGTTGGCCAGGCATATTTTTGAGCAGGATCGCCCACCGTGTTCGTTGCCACAGAGCTCAGTACACTTTGCTGTGGCTTCATTCTCCCTGCCGTGACTTGGTGGATCTCGACTTTGGCGGTTGTCAGCGTTCGGATCTTTTACTTCGGGTTCCTTTTGCTCCGGCGACTTTCCCGCATGCATGATTGTTAGATGTTTGTCACTTTGACACTCCAAGCACTTTACGGTACTGCGACAATCCTTTGCTACATGGGTTGTTGAGGCCACACAACGAAAGCATATTCGGTTCTTTCTCAGCAGGTTTTTTCTGTCTTCAAGTGATTTGCCTCGGAAAGCTCTGCACTTGGCTAGGGGGTGCGGTTTTTCATGGAGGACACACCATCTGATGGGATCGCAGGTTAGATTCTTTCTGTGACTTTCTTCTTCGTCGGCGATTTCGGTTTTGTATGTTTGTCTTTGCCTCGAACCTAAATTCCTAGACTGATGATTTTCCTTTCCGAGAACCTCCAAGGTCAAATTCGGGTCATTTCTCTCAAGCGCAAGGTTTTGCACGAATTTCGAAAATTCTTCAAAGGGAGGGTACTCTACTCCGTGGTCGGTCTTATAACGAAAAGCATGGCGTTGCCATCGTCCTTGTACGTCCCCCGGTAACTTGGCTATTATGGGTTTAATGTACATGGCTTCGTCGAGGATTCTAAGACCTGGTAAACTACCGTCACTTTTGGCGCATTGTAGCTCTAGCAAGAGATCACCTAGCTCTTGTAACTTTCTTGCGTCTTTATAGTCAATTTTCGGAAAATCCGTGAGCTTGTCCAGATATGCTTTAGTTATAACAATACTGGTTCCGAAACGTTCGTCAAGTTTCTTCCATACCTCTATTACACCCTTTGCTGGATTTTTAATATATGCACTGCGCAACTGCTGAACAAGTTTTTTAGAGTTCTTGGTGGTGTGCTCGGTTATTAACGAAAGTTCCTCGCTTGGCGTAATGTTGACATGTCTAATCATATTCTGGAAAGATTCCTTCCAGACATGATAGTTCCCTGGTTGGTCATCAAACTTTTCTATTTTGTTAGCTATTAACTCCCGGCGCGCCATAAAATCGATGTAGGACTTCATAGTATCTTGACCTGGCTCCGAGGGGGGACTGGTCCGAGTGGTAGGGTGGAACGCACTTGTCGTGGGATCTAAGGGTTGGGAAGGTTGGGCAGCGGTATGTTGTTGTTGGAAAGGTTGGGCAGCGGTATGTTGTTGTTGGAAAGGTTGGGCAGCGGGATGTTGTTGTTGGAAAGGTTGGGTATTGGGATGTTGTTGTTGGAAAGGTTGGGCAGCGGGATGTTGTTGTTGGAAAGGTTGGGCAGCGGTATGTTGTTGTTGGAAAGGTTGGGCAGCGGGATGTTGTTGTTGGAAAGGTTGGGTATTGGGATGTTGTTGTTGGAAAGGTTGGGTAGTATCGATATTATCTGGTGTAAATTCGTACTGGTTTTCAAGGTAATTATTTACCTTTTGGTCAACGTGTTCTTCAGGCAGATCTAATCCTTGAGGATCAGATATTTCTAGTTCATTCTCTATAGCGGTGACTTTCGCGACGGCAACTGCCGCTTCTTCTTCTAAACGCAATTGTTCTAACCGGGCTTTTTCGTTTATTTTTTGGCGCGACAATGCTAATTCCTGTTGTTGTATTTGTAACGCTAATTGCGACTCAATTTCATTTCGTTTCTTTTGCAATTCTGCTTTCTTTATAGCTGCTGCAGCATCCCCTCTTGCTTGCGCACGTAATGCGGCCGACGAGGCTGACGATGCGCGAGAAGATGCGCGAGAACTTAGGCGAGCAGAACCCATTTCAGCGGTTAGTTCCTTCTTTCGTTCATTACCTTCCGCGACCACAGTGTCAACATAATGTTTATGATAATCAAGAATGTGTTCTATTTTCTCTCGCTCTTCAATACATTCTAGCGTGCCCACACGTACAAGATAATCTATGTACGAGACTATAGACATATGGTAATCATGAAATGCTGCACGTACCTTCGATATTGCAAACCGTATTTGTGGTATTGAGTCTGGCGTTGTTTGTAATGTTGTTATAGCATTTTGCACTTTATCCCATAATTTTGTCGTTTTAAATTCTTCGGTTTGCATCCGATTTTGGACAGATTTGAGCGTAGGCTTTGTTTGTCTTTTTGGCCTTGTTATAAGGCTTTGACTGTCTGTATTTTCTGTATTTCCTTCGTTGAGACTTTGAGCGTTGTCGTCGATATTGTCTGTTTGGGCTTCTATATGCAAACTGTTCATATTTTCCTCGAAAACTTGTTCAGACGCCGTATGTTGTCCATTTCCCCCGTTTTGTTCGGCATTAGTCGGTTTATCTAAGGTTCTTTCGTCGACTAGATCGACCTCTGTATTTTCCATGCCATTTGTAGCGTTAGTATCCATACTACGAATGCGATGCTGTCTTTCACAAGGCCGTTGTTTACAATATCAATATGGGTCGTTTTCGACGTTGCAGCGATGTTTACGCTTATTATATCTCCTTTTACTGTTCTGATACTTCGGGCCCCCGCTCAGTGAGACCCTTCATCAGCAGTATAACCAACACAAATTTGTTTTAAAGTGATTTTATTTGTGTTACAGTGGTAAAAGGAGAATCGACTGCGAATCGCCTCCAAACAATACAAAGAATCTTACAATAACAACCTTCGAGTCACCCCCAGCAGCGAGGGTGACTAACCAATTAGAATGCATTAAAATGTAATTGGCGCGAACTGTTAACAAGAACAGGCCGAACGGCCAGAACAGTTTCATTGCGTCTAAATATAAATGGGACATTCATCAAAGAGCATAAGGACAGCTGAAATTCTCCTGATAGAGGATAAAAATGAAGCGATCTATCGATACACTGCTGAGACTCGTCCGTGCCAGCTGATACTAGGCTACAGTGCCAGCGCAGTCATGTGAAATATACAACGGCAAGTCGGCAACGTGACTTTAATACAAAGATTTTGTGTCGTGTTGCTTCGAATAAGACAAATATGTCCTTTGTATTCCGTGACAGCTAAAACATGAATTATTAATTTAAATAACATGATTAAATTTGGTAAACAAAAAACTCTTTCAATCGACAGAAACTATGGAAACGGTGTTGAAACGGTGTTGAAACACAGCTGACAGAGGCGCTCGAAAGGCACCAGAAAATGTGAACACGTCACTTGTATATATATTGAACAAAATAGTGTTAATATTTCAGCTAAAAGGTAGATCAGTGTGTTAACAGCAGATCTGTTGGGTGAAGTAGAAAAACAGATAACAATTAAGTCAACTAACACTCACCTTTTAATTTAGCACACGCTTGTCAAAAAGTCAAAAGTGGAAAAGAACGTGAAGCGTGCTCCAGCCCAATTTCCGGTTCCAAAAGACCCGTTCGCAGGCAAACACTGCGCGCAAAGCAGGCTGGTCATTTCCCATTGTTTAACTGCCCCACTCAAGTAAACCACAAAGACTCACAGATGTTGCTTCGCAACATCCGTGAGTCAAAAATAAAGGCTACATTACCTGAGTGAGTTGTAATCCTATTTCTTCAACAATAGTTTCATATTTTTACGATTTTGGTGTTGTATAGACGTTTTGTAGCCTTGTTGGTTGTTTGTTTCGGCCATACAAACTACGACAATAATACAAAGTCAAAGGTTTCCTTTTTCGATTGACTCCAGCATCTTTTGCTTCAAATATCATGTAATATTTTCTCAGAAGTATTTTTTCAACTTTCAAGCTCAGTTTTATAGATATTATTTTCGAAAAAAGCCGTAAATATTCACGAAAAAAGGCTGCCATAGCCGACAGCAAAAAAACATTTTGTCAATTTTCCCGCGTTTTTCCCCGTTTCCTAGGATACGAGGCCTCATCACGATTTATGAATAAGGTCTATAGTGTTCTAAATATAAATGCCTTCATGTATATATAATATTACCAAAAAGAAATAAAGCTATCCTTACCTAAATTATTGAAAATATTGTCCATGTCAGTTTGCATCATGAAAATGTAAATAAGCCCGTACAGTGCATTTGTGCAAGACAAAAAAAGTTTGACCGCCCCCCTCGTTTAAAAAAACTTCCTGAATCCTTAATTATTTCCCCGGAATTACGACACCTTTACCGACAGACACAAAATCGAGATCTCGACAATACATAGCTCGGGCAAAGAGACTGGACACAAGTAAACGCGATACTTCATTTGGCGGGAAATTCAAATGCGCTATAAACACGTCGTCAAGAATAGGAGGCTGCCTTCGGCAGCAATAATTTCAAAATCGAAAGTCCAAAGTCCATAGTCCAAAGTCCAGTCCAGTGTTTACAATATGCCGTACAAAAATAAATTGATAACAAAATCGTGAAGTCATGTGACCAAAATGATGAAACAATTTGATCACATGATTGAACGAAAATTGAATTTGCAATTGGAATTATCAAACGTCTTTCCCCGTTTATCAAACGTCTTTCCCCTTTTGAAATTCTTAGCGGGATGTGGCCAGTTTAGTGATTTTAGTAATATATTTTATTGCTAACACTATAATCTCTACACCAACCTCGTTCCCAGGGTCTCTCCTTCTGTCCCAAAGAAAGATCCTGGGTACGAGGTTGTCTCTACACGTGTGTGCTTACCACGTGACAGCCGAGTTTATAGCTGCTACAATATTAACCTGAAGTTCAGGCCCTAATCACAGAATAGGGCCTGACACAAAACCTATCTAAACTGTGGGATTCCCGTCCACCTGGTGGACGGGAAATCTGATTGGTTGATCAGCATCATGAAGGATTTTGATTGGTTGCAAGTTTACATAAACAACAGTTTTAAAAATAGCTCGATCAAGGCGACAATTAATAATATAAAGGTCAAACGCACGTACAAATTCCATTATCGATTTCTTCGAATTTCTTTTCTTTTATGCTTTATGGCAGAAAATAAATCAAACAAACAGTATTTTGAAAGGGCTTTATCAAAATTTTGGACGAATTTTGGACACACGACGCTGAAAGAACAGCCAAACTAGTCATGTATTCGAAAGCTTGTTGTTGACAGCCAACTTAGATGTTCTGCCAACTGGCTTCGCCAGCAAAAGTCTTATTTTTAATATCAGGTCCTACCGGCGTTGTTTTCTGAGCTACATCGCCTTCTTCGTGGTACGATTGAGAATTTCATTGTTGCTGTTGTTAGCCCGTTAGAATGTCTAGAATATATCCGAGTCCAGCAAGTTGAGACCTTGAGAAAGCTTGGCAGTTAAGCCGTGCGCAGAACTGACTAATTAAATATTTGTTTGCTGTTCGGTTAAATAGAGAAATTGACTCTTAATTATATAAAAGTACCTTGAATTTTTAAGTTTAATTATAAAGCAAAATGCACACTCTGCGGATATGTTCATGAGAATATAATTTTTTTGTGTAACGAAATGTACAACACTTGTCAATCATATTGCATGTTGTGTCTAAAAATAACATGTGGGCGTCCCACGGTCTAGACAGGTTTTGTGTCAGGCCCTATTTCAATCTCGTTCCCCGAGCATGCCCGTTCGCAGGTTAAGCCCACCCTTAACCTGCGAACGGGCATGCTCGGGGAACGAGATTGGCCCTATTTCAAATTAGGGCCTGAACTTCAGGTTACTACAATATCGTTTTGTGACATCCTAAAGACAGACAATTAGCCAATCTCGTTCCCAGAGTATGCCTCGAGGCAACCTCGTACCCAGGGTATTTGCTCTTGGGAAGCGAAATACCCTGGTATGGGCTGGTCACGTGACCCGCGGATTTTGCGTAAAATGGCGTATTGTTTACTAGGGTCGGGGGAGTGAGTATATATTGTGACAATTAATTAGATCGCTCTATGAATATATTAAACAATAACCATTGAATCTTCAAAGAAATCGTGATTATTCGTGAAAAGAACCGCAATTAAAAATTAATATTTATCGTGATGTGACTTTCTACTCTACAATCTAGTGTCGAGTTACAATTCAAGCAAATTGGATCAGATTTCAACTGATAGACTTGTCACTGAGAAAGCACGCGTGGACGGCGTGGCAATATAATAAAGCAGTACAAGAAAATATATATATCTAGAGTCACCGAACAATGTGGTTATTCATTTATTTAATTGTTATGAAAGTATATCTAGATACTCGAACCAAAAGAATTTATTTATTGATGAGATGTGGCATGGAATTGCAACGAAATAGCGAGATCTTTTGATTTCCGAAATATCGCCAACTGTATCCAGATTGTTCAGTAAATACCTAGCTATATGATCGAGTCTTCTGATTGGCCAGTAGATTAAATAGGGTAGTCCGAGGTAGTCACCAATCACAATCAAGCCTTGCCCGTTTTGGGGGCGTTTCGCCGCAGGACCGTGTTGCCATGCAGGTTCGCCGCGTGCATTATAGGATTATAGCCAACGCTTTTTGACTGCTGAATTTATACAGTTTTGGACAGCTTTTGGTGGCTAAGAATAAGGAGATATGTGAGTTTTGCTTTTTGGAAACATGGATGGAGAAGAGGTAAATAATCAGTTATAATTGTATTGCTTATATGACAAATTGGATCGTTAGATTCGGCCCATGTATATTCGGCCATATTTACAATTTCCAATCTATATTAAATCATATCTGTATTTATACTCATTTTTGGTTTCATATGGTGTAATGGATGCTGATAGTAGAATATATGGCGTCAGACCTCAGTATTATTTCGGCCATATTTGCAATTTCCAGTGTATACAGTATAGGATTGTTTCAACATATTGAATCACATCTGTATTAAGCCTGTTTTCATACGTCGAATTTTGGTCATTCGACACGACCAAAATTCGACGTATAAAACAGGCCTTACTCATTTTTTGTTTCATATGATGTAATGGAGGCTCAGATTCATTAATATGTAAAATACCTAATCACACACTATCATGCTTATTGGCCATTTAACCATATGTTTATGTAAATAGTGTGTATAATATATGGCATCAGACCTCAGTATTATTTCGGCCATATTTGCAATTTCCAGTGTATACAGTATAGGATTGTTTCAACATATTGAATCACATCTGTATTAAGCCTGTTTTCATACGTCGAATTTTGGTCATTCGACACGACCAAAATTCGACGTATAAAACAGGCCTTACTCATTTTTTGTTTCATATGATGTAATGGAGGCTCAGATTCATTAATATGTAAAATACCTAATCACACACTATCATGCCTATTGGCCATTTAACCATATGTTTATGTAAATAGTGTGTATTATGCACGACCTTTGAAAAACAGACACCTGAAAGGCTACCACCAATTGCCACCGGCATTGTAAAGAGATATAAATTCATCAACATTAAAGGTGATATAAAGTCTGTTCTCGCATACGTTTTGTGCAGGCCTACATTCCAATGGTTAGCCGATCAATTTAATCATATTTTACAACTGTAGCACTGAGTTCAAAATGTAAACAATGCGTTTGTTTACATTTCAAGTGACTGTACACCATAACCTGCATCACCCGCATACATATATATACATGAATAAAAAATTTGTGGTTATAAATGCTTGGCAACTGTACCTCTGTAGCTAAGCGGTCAGCCGCAGGTTCGATAAGTTCCTGCCGGTGTTGCATTTTTTGCAGCTCCGTCGTCCCCGGTTAGGTAAAAAATTCTATATATATAATAATCTATATAAAAACCATCAACATTAATTTCTATTGAGTGAGATGCACAAAACATGTAATGTTTTATTTCACATGTTTAAATAAGGCGAAATAAATCGTATTTATCCCAACCTAACCATTGCTCCTTTTGTACTTAATCATAATGCATTATCTCTCTTAGATTATCCTAGGCAATGCAACAAAAAGGTGCAAAAGCAAGTGTCCTGCATGTCCATTTGTATATGCAAACTTCTGGAAGCCAAAAAGCTACCCAGAGTGCAAATATGAAATTGGTGTAAGTTACATTCCCAAGGAGAAAAAAGCGAAAAAACTCCACCCTGACTGTGCTCATGTTGGTAGAAATGTGTACTCTGTGAAAACAAGCACAAGAGGTGGCAGTTGAAGTATTCGGTGGCAAAGTGGTTACCGGTAGCGCACTTGCCTTTCACCTCTGAGACCGCAAGTTCAAGCCTCAGTGAGAACTTCTCAATGTGTTTTCTCTGGGTACTCCGGTTTCCTCCCACAGGGAAAGTTGACAGGGTGGGTTAGGCACATACAGTAGGTCAGGAGGCAGATCATTAATGAGGTATGGACTAATAGTGGCTGCTCAAGGAGCCATTTATAAGCTCAAAGTCTACCTCGGTCTGCTTCACGTCAGTCCGGTTCTATCTATCTATTCACAATGTAACCAGTCACTGAAAAGCCCTGATAGGGAGTGTGCTGTGAAATATCTGTATCTGTAAGTATGTAAATAATTAAAGCACTTCTGTAACAGTAGTTTATATAAAGTGAAATTTATTGTTTGGCTGATGTTTTAGATTTGCCATTTGGGATTTTGTCTGGATTCTATTTTTGTCAATGATTTTGTCTGTAAGAATTAAGCATCATCATTAAATTTGGAGGTAATATCGGTCCTTCCAATCTGTACAGACCTTCTACATCTGCAAGATCTCCGATGCTAAGATTGTTTCCATCAAGTGACCAAAACCTTGTTCACCTCCCTGTAATAGAGAGTTTAAGTTCGACTTCCGATACCGATACTAACATGTCATGCACATGCTCTCTGCTCGCAAGAAGCATGAGGACAAGTGTATTGGAAGTCACCACTACCGAAGTCGGCCTTGTATTGGAAGTCGGGGGAATTGTAAGATAAACTCATATAAATCGGATATTTCATAATTTTTACGATAAACATGTAAACTATTTGTTTATTAGCATCGCCAGAATCATGTTTTAGTCGGAATTTTAGCTCAGCTGCCGTTTAGTATACTGCACATTTTCGGTGACGATTAATGTGTTCTATACTTTATCTGTCATATCAAACTTTCGCCCTATATGAATGAACATTTGCTCAAACTAGTGTCCAGTCGCTTAATGTGAAGTTACAGACGCTCCATTTTAGGCTCAGTGTAAGATTAGCTATGCTGAACTGGTTCTGTAATA